GCTTGCCTGAGGGTACAGGGCGTGTGCCAGAGCTGGGTTCAAATTCAGCCCCTCCATGCATCAGCACCCGAAAGCCCTCGCTCTGAGGACCCCCACAATGCCCAGGGTCCAGCCCCCTCTGCCCCCCTATTAGCATCCCACCCTACCCCTACCTGAGCCCCCTCCCCAAGCTGGACCAGATAGAAAACTTGCCTGGGGGAACCTTCTAGGGTGGAACATGCCCCTGCCTCCTGTCCCCCGCCCCCGTCCCCAGCCACCAGGCCAGGAGAGCGGCCAGGGAGGGGCCTTGGGCAGATGCGATTTAAGGGGCAGCACTGGGTGTCCTGCAGGGCTTGCCCACCTGTGGACACGGACCCCCCTCCCACAGGCTACCGACACTGGCACGCAGACCTGCGGCCCGACGACAGCCCCTTGGAGGCTGGCCTGGCCTTCACCTGCAAGCTCAAGTCCAGCACCCCCTTCCTGGGGCGGGGGGCCCTGGAGCAGCAGAGGGCAGCAGGCCTGCACCGGCGGTTGGTGTGCTTCACAGTGGACGAGTGAGTATGGGGGCTGGGCAAGCCCCTCCCTCTCATCAGAGCCCTGTGGAGACGGACTGCAGGCAGCCGGCCACTCCCAGACCCCACTGCCCAGGACCGGGGCCCAGTCTCAAGCCATCTCTGGTGTGAGCTGCAGGCTCAGAACCTCAGGGCCAGCCAGAGCCTGCAGGCCGTTAGTCACACTCCGGTGCAGGGCTGTCCAGCGCATCCATGGGTGGACGGGGAGGGCCTGGCAGGGCGGAGCTCTCCCCTTGTGTCCTGATGGAATCCCCAGCCCTATGGTGGGGGCTGCGAGGGGCAGGGGCAGGGTGGCCCATGCCCATCAGATGAGGAAGGACGGCCCCATCGGGGAGTCAGGCATGGTCAGCCCACGTGGCTGCTCGGACGGAGGACGGAGGACGAGCCTCTAGATGACGCAGGAGGCTGGCGGAGTCGGGTGTCTCTGTAACGTGGGTTTTCCCGGAGTTGGATTTGGCTTGCTTGGACTGCACTTTGTCACGAATCAGATTGACTCACATCGGCGTCCATCCGATTCCATTTCGGCTTTAATGTCTTCCAGGCTTTGCTCTTTTAGGAGCCCCAGTGGCATAGTGGTTACCTGCTAACCGCAAGGTCAGCAGTTCAAAACCACCAGCCCCTCCTCGGGAGAAAGACGGGGCTTTCTTCTCCCATAAAGAGTGACCGTCTCAGCAACCCACAGGGACAGCTCTCCCCTGTCCTGGGGGTCGCTGCGAGGCAGCATCAACTCAGTGGCAGGGAGTTTCTGATTGAGATTTGCTGCTTTGAATTTCCGAGACCCAGGGTACTTGGGGCACATGATGCGTCCCCTGCAGATAAAGACGGGCCGGCCAAGAGTAGAGCACACGGGCCCCACGGGACACGGTTTAAGACGCTCGGAACTCACGCAGAAGGCCTAGAGATGGCACGGGCTTTTTGCTTGTATGAAGCACCAAAGTCAGCCTTGGGTTTGGACGTTTCTGCTCGGGGATGGGCTTGGGGGCTGGAGCTGGAGCTGTGCCGTGTCCCCGGCCACTGCTGTGTCCCCAGGCCTGTACTATGTCCCTGGCTAGCCCCACCGGGCCAGGGGCTCCGTCCCCGGCTCTGATCCTGGCAGGCCACAGCAGTGGAAGCCCAGCCCCCCAGCAGTCTCTGGGCCCTCAGCTGACTGTCCTTCCAGGAAAGTGCCCATGTTCGGCCTGGAGGCCATCTGGAGAAACGGGCAGGTGGTGGGTCACGTGCGCAGGGCAGACTTTGGGTTCGCCCTGGACAAGACCATCGCCTATGGCTACATCCGGGATCCCAGTGGAGGGCCGGTGAGTCCACTAGGCCCTCTAAGGGGGGGCAGCAGGGAGATGGGAGCAGGGACTGTGGGGGCAGAGACTCTGGAAGGGCTAAGGGGGGTGGGCCCAGGAGGGAAGGGGGAGCCCTGGAGGAAGGGAGATGGGGAAAGGGGCTGATGGAGGGAGGGGTTGGAGTGAAGGGGAAGGAGACCCTGGTAGGGGACCCAGGCCCTGTCTGCCTCTTCTCTCACTTCGGCCCCCCGCCACCCCACACCGCTCATTTGGCGTTTGCTTTGGTTGGGGTTGTGAGGGCCACTGGCTGCCCAGCCTGATGCTCACAGGGGACCCTCTGACCCAGGGTCACTGCTGGGCTGGCTGCTGAGGGGCAGGCCAGTGGGGAGCCAGCCTGAGCACCATCGGCCGTGCCCCTGCCTTCCAGGTGACCCTGGACTTTGTGAAGAGTGGGGACTACACCCTGGAGAGAATGGGGGTGGCCTACGCCGCGCAGGGACACGTGAGGTCACCCTTTGACCCCGACAACAAGAGAGTGAAGGGCATCTACTGACTGCCAGGCGGGCAGGACCACAGCATCCAGAGGCCAGCCCACCCGCTGCCCACTGCCCATAGGCCCCTGGACCCCGGCCTACACCCTGCTTGCCTGCAGTCTGGTCTGGTGCTGCAGAGACTCCCACATCTACAGTGGGCAGAGTGTGGAAGGACCGGACGGCCCCCTGTGCCCCACCAGACCTTGGCATCAGTGTCTACCCACCTCCCACAAAGCAGACACAGACCTGGACTTGGGGTGGGGGGTGGTGATGGCTGGAGTGCTGAGTAAACCCCCCATGGGCCGAGGCTTCACTCTGGGCTCAGGGTCCTGGAGGGCGGCAGGGGGAGGCTTGGTGGAAGAGACCGAGGCTGCTGTGTGGGGATTGGGGACAAGCGACTGGCGATCGATCGACTGGCATTGCCTGCCTTGGGCGCAGCGAGGCAGGCGCCAGGGCCACAAGTGCAGATGGTGCGGATGGGCTTCCGGCTGCATTGAAGCAGCGCTCAGACCCTGGGGAGAGGGGCAGTTGGCCGGGAAGTTCTTTGGTCCTGACCACTCAGTCCTGCAGGAGGGGAGTTTTGGGGAGTGAGCAGCTCAGGAACACAAGGAGGCCCCTGGGGGTCCCGTAGCACTGTCTGACCCCCAGGGTTCCCCCACCATCCCGGCTCCCTCCCGTCTGGGAGAGGAGCTCCTTCTCCCACCCGCCTCCCCCACGTCACCACACAGAAGGCGGCACCCAGCTGTGTGTGCACAGGGTCAGGAAACGGGGGTGGCTCTGCTGCCATCACCCCAGGTTCTGCCCCGTGTCCGGAGAAACCTTGCACCATGCCCACAGATTCTGACGTCAGCCCCCTCCCCTCAGATCCCCGGGCAGGGCTCCCACTGGCCACCCTCAGTCACTCCCAGCCTCTGCTGTCCAGCTGTCCAGGAAGGTGGACCCTGCAGCCCTGCAGAGTGTCAAGAGAGGGGCAGGTGAGAGTGCCCAGGGTGGAGCACCGGTCTCTGGCAGAGGTGGGGCAAGGATAAGACCCCCACAGGGCCCTCCCGGGGCAGGATCTGGGCTCTAGGGAATGTTGGCTGGGCCGAGGGTGGAGTGGGCGGGGAGGCCAGGCCCCTTGGATCCTCCTTGTCTGCATTCTGGAACAATCAGTGACCTTGTTGCATCTCATGTGTCTGGAAGCAGATTCCATTTTCTTCTCCTCTGTGCACCGTCAGCACCTTGCACCTGGGCACTGCAGGGGCCTCACCCCACCTGGCTCCCACCTAACCTCTCATCAGATCCCCACCTAGCCTCTCCCCAGGCTCCTAACCTCTTACCTGATCTCTCACCTGCACCCCCGGCCCCCGCCAGCTCCCACCACACAGAGGGGCCGGTCTGAGCACAGGCCCACTCCTTCCACACCCAGGGCCCCACATTCACTTCTTGCTCAGTGCTCTGCCACACTGGACGCCACCTCTTCCTCACCCAGGCCGGGTGCCCCCTGGCCCCTGCACTGGTGGCCCCTCTTGGGGAAGGCCACACCTCAGATACCTCACTTCCCCCAGGATGTCACCTGTGTGTCCCCTTTCCTGTCAGCCAGCCCACCTTGCCTCTGTCCCAGTGGCATGCCCTCAGCTCCCGTCTCCACCTGCTGCTCGTGTGCTGGTGCTGGCCGCACCCGTGTGTGTGTCTGCGTGTCCTTGTATGTGTGTGTGTGTGGGTGTGTGTGTCTGTGCGTAACTGTGTTTGTGTGTATCTATGTGCCTGTGTGTATATATCTGTGTCTGTGGATATGTGTGTGTGTAACTGTGTGTCTGTGTGTATACGTCTGTGTATCAGTGCGTGTGTGTGTCTGTGTATGCGTGCGTGTGTGTCTGTGTGTATATGTCTGTGTATCAGTGTGTGTGTGTGTGTATATGTCTGTGTATCAGTGTGTGTGTGTGTGTGTATATGTCTGTGTATCAGTGTGTGTGTGTGTATATGTCTGTGTATCAGTGTGTGTGTGTGTATATGTCTGTGT